CTTCTTCCGCTCCTTCTTCTGCTTCTTCTTCTGCTGCTGCTGCTGCTGCTGCTGCTGCTGCTGCTCCTCCTCCTCCTCCTCCTCCTCCTCCTCCTCCTGCTGCCAAGATTCCACCAAGCTTGGCTTCAGGATCCCTACATTTTTCCTCTCCCACTTGGCCTCCCTTTCTCTCTTTTCTCTGCTCAGTAATCTTGCAGCCCTGAAAAAGCCGCTTTCCCCATCCACCTCCTGCTTGCCTCCTCTGTGAAACTCTTTCAGGTTTGAGATAATTTTAAGAGTTTGGGGGCATCTGCGGACCCGCTCTTTGAACATGTCAGCTCATCTTTTGTCTGTTGGAGCCGTTCGCCCGTTTCCCGGTGGCAGGGCGGGGCAGGGCGGCTGGGCTGGGTTGATGCCTGCTGCGTCCCACCAAAGGAACCTTGGCATTTTCTTGTCTCCTGTACTTTCAGAGGGGTAATTAGCTCCTGGATGCAATCCCCTCTTTCGATTGTTCTAGTATTTTGGGAGAGCTGCCATAAGTAGCATCGCCCACACGTTGTTCCAAGCATCGAGAGAGCTGTTTCTTGCCTCTCTTCCTTTTGTTCACATCCGAAATCCCCCTCCTTTTCTGCCTTCCTGCCTTTGCTTAATCCCAGGGGGGGAGGAGCAGCAGCTCCATGCATTGGTGGGAAGAGGGGGGCGCGAGAGGAAGGATGAACCCCAACCCCCAGCTGAAGGTCTTCTGAAACACAAGCTCATCTTGAGATCAAGTTAGGTTTTTTCCTTCTTCTTCTGCAAGCCCTTCCTTTGGGTGCTTGCTCTCTTGCAAGCAATAGCTGTATCCCTTAGACTTATATGCCGCTTTCCCATGCTCTTAACAGCCCTCTCTAATCGGTTTACAGAGTCAGCCTCTTGCCCCCCCAAACAATCTGGGTCCTCATTTTACTCGCCTCGGAAGGACGGGAGGCTGAGTCAACCTTGAGCCGGTCAGGATCGAACACCTGGCAATGGGCAGAGTTAGCCTGCAGTACTGCATTCTCACCAATGTGCCACTGTGGCTTCGATAGATAGAAAGAGAGACAAATAGATGGACAGATAGAAAGACAGATAGAAAGACAGACAGACAGACAGACAGAGCAATAGCAAGATTTCTCCCTCCTGTTTGAAATCTTTTTTCCTTCTCTTTCTCCTTCCTTCCTTCCTTCCTTCCCTCCTTCCTTCCTTCCTTCCTTCCTTGCTTCCTTCCTTCCTTCCTTCCTTGCTTCCTTCCTTCCTTCCTTCCTTG